GTTAGTACCCCCCGCCAGGCTGTGCATCCCCCCGGAGTAGCTGCTGCTCCCCGAGGGTCTCGATGGCTGCAGGGGTAACCAGGGTGACCCCACCTCTGCAGGCACCTGGGTACCAAGGATGCAACAGGCAGCTGGATGTGCTGGGGTGACCCGAGGCATGGGCTCGCCCTGGGAACACATGCCACAGGGTTGAAAGCCCCCTGGAGACATCATAAGAGGTGACACATGGGGACAAACAAGCACAACCTGCCAGGACCCACAGCTGAATGTTGCATTTTCAACCCAAAACACAGCTCCTGGTACCACGACCCCAGCATGGGTCTGGGGGCAGCCCCCGCTGCCAATGTCTCATCCCAGAGCACCAGGGACAGGGAGGGATGGAGCAGCACTCAGGATGGCTTCAGGAAAGCCTGGAGCTGGGCTCAAAAACAAAAGCAGCTCCACATCCATCTAAGCAAGTCCCCTGAGATCCCGCCGAGTGCCAGGACAGCCAGAGCACCAGCCCAGCCATGCCAGGAAAGGTGCTGGTCCCTGAGGCCAGCACGGGAGAGGCTGCTGCTGCCAGCTGGGAGGAGCCCAGCGCTGGGTACCCACATCACCACCATGGAAAGAAAGAGCAGGGAGCAGAGGGCTGTTTGGTTGTGTTGTTCTCATTATTATTAATTATTTTCTTTTTTTGGCATCAATACCATCTGTTCACCTGAACTACGGACCTTCTGCGTCTAAAAATCTTTTGGTATCTTCCCATCTGGATGCACACACACACACACACAAAAGGATAACAAAATGGAAAAGATGGAAGCAGGAGCCCTGGTGGCAGCAGGCTCAGCTCGCCAGCCACAGCCAGGATTGGGGCCACGGGTTTCACCGGGGTTGGCTTTGCTGCCTCCCCGTGCCATTGCCCATCCTCAGAGAGCTTGTCCTGGCTTCAGAGGAGGAACTGGGAGTGCAGGGGACCAGGGGCCTTTCCCTGAAGTGGAAGTCAGACCACCAGCCATCCCCACATGCACTGGGAGAGGTGTCACCTGCTGCAGCTGATGTTGAGAGGAAGAGGGAGCCGTGTCCTCGCTGCCCAGAGCTGGCAGGAGGCTGGGGACAGTTGTCACTGCTGGGTGCCATCTGCCCCAGCACCAGCAGGACTGGGGGCTGAGGGAGGGCAGCCAACCCAGGGTGGGCTGCCCTGCTCACTGGATGGCTTAGCAACCTGCTGGAGGTGACAAAGCAAAGGGGACACAGTCCCACCGATGCAACAGTCCTTGTCCTTCCCCAGCCGCGAGAACGATGCAAGCCCAACATCCAGGCCATGGCAGAAGAGTCACCCCTGTTTCTGCTGTTTCTTCCCCCAAAGCTGGGTGGAGGCAGCATGTGGGCAGGGTCCACGGTCCCTCCTAGTGCAAAACCCACTGGGGGATGGAGACACCACGGCGGGTTCCTGCCGTTGCCTTCCCTCCCCAGGGCGGTCGCTGGCAGAGCCTGGAGCATCATCGGGTGGCAGAGCAGAAGAGGGGACAGAGGCGTCTTCCCCATGCCCAGGGAAGGAAGGAGGGACCATTTCAGACAGAAACAACCTACCATCCTCGTTCACCAGTCACTAACCAAGGGAGAAGGGGAGAAAAAGTCCAGCTCTTGGGTTCTTGCTTCTCGTGTTGTCCCCCGCGGCAGGGGTGGGTCAGTCACCGGGGCGGCGGCGCGGGGCAGTGGGGAGCGTGAGGGACGCGCCGTCAGCAACAGGTTGTTGCACCAAGGAAACCCTTTTGCTCTGTGGAAGTGCCTTTAAAAAAGGGGTTAACGCCGAAGGTCACCTTGGGGAGGTGGGAGCTATCGCTTGGTCTCCAGCCGGGAGGGTGGGAAGGGTTTGCCCCTCGGTGGGGAGGAGGAAGGGGTCCTTAGGACAAGTCTTCCACCGGCAGCTCCTCCTCCAGGTCCCTGTCGTCGGGAATCGTCACATTCTGGTTGGTGGTGGCCATCAGGGAGACAGGTCTGCTGTCGTCCTCTGCCTCAGCTGGTTCCTCCTTCACGTGCACTGGATGGCTGTGGGGAGGGAAGCTTTTAGCCTTGGGGAGATGGTCCCTCTGGTCACAACCCCACCAAGCTTTTGCTCCAAACCCCTTCCTTCCTCATGCTGCTCCTCACCCAGGGGAAAGGAGCCACAGGAAGCAACAAGCAACTCCTGATGTGCCACCATCCTTTAGCTCCAAACCCTCCAGCGGCCCAGTAATGCCCACCAAGCCCCTTGCCCCCAGCCAGGCTGACCTGTACTGCTGCGGGGACAGGCGGGGGGGGTTGCTGCCATTGCTGTTGACCTGCTCCACGGTGCTGCTCACGTCGTCGTGGCCCACGTGCAGCATCCCGCTGGCCGAGCTGGTGTTGATCATGGTGGGGCTGTTCAGCAGTGGGAAGCTGCTCTCTGCCAGCGCAGCCTGCAACACAAAGAGGCAGGGAGGATGTGAGACGGTGACAGAAAATGGGACTGAGGACTGGTGAAGGTTGAAGTGCCTCTGCATCCCTGCCAGGGATGGGATTAGGTCCTTACCTGGTAACTTGCATTAAGTGCTCCGTAACCGAGTCCTGAAATCATGTTTTTGACTAAAGTTGGACTCCTGCAGAAAAAGAGAAAGTGGAACAATGCACAGCTGAGCCCTTCTGGACCAAGGACAAGGGATCTGGGGGCAGAGGTGGGTGTCAGAGCAGCTCCCAGGCTGTCTCCCATAGGAGCAGAGGACCCACCCTGTCATCTTTGGTGGCCTTCGCTTTTGGTACTCGTGCTCGTCGACGGTCCAGACGGCGCCCTTGACGTTCTCCACGCGCACGAAGCACTTGTGCAGGCTCAGGTTGTGGCGAACGGCGTTCTGTGGGCAGGGAGGGCAGGAGAGCTCACTGGCACGTCCCTCAGCCCCTGCCCGGACCCCTCCTCTTCCTCCTCTTCACCCAGCCCCTGCAGGTCTCCATCATTCCAGGCTGTTCTGACCATGCCCACCTTGTCTACAGCCAAACGCTTCGCAAAGCCACCCGGGGATGCTGCAAACACCCCCTCAGCACTGAGAGGCTTTAGGAGTCAAGGCCCTGAGCTGCGCATGGGACATGACCCCATTTTGTGGGCCTTGGCCAGACACTGAGGAAGATGGGGACAGCATGGGACAAGGGACAAGCCACAGCATCAAGGACGCGGGAGCAGAGCCACCCTCTCCACCACAGCTCACTCGGTGATGCTCAGCAAAGCCAGCTAATCTTTTCCTTTCTTTTTCTTTCCCCCACCCTCCCTTTTTGGCCCTTTCCCTCCCTTTCTTCTTTACATCGACCATCTTTACATTTCTAAATGTAAAATAAAGAGACACACACGTAGGCAGACAGTGCAGCCCCGAGAGATACTAGCTCCCTTTTCCCCTTCCAACTCCCTGCCATTTGCTACTGCCCCTATTTCATTACCAATTTTAATTTGCCTCTAATTAAATCCTGTGTATTTTTCCGACTCACTTGCTAATCCATGAGGGAGGCAGGAGGCTGGAGTGGAATCTCTCCGAGCTATAATTACAAAGGGCCTAATCACGCCGGGGCTCTGCCTTTGAATAAATTTCCTTGCATTAAGGTTCTCAGATTCTCTGCCTTGCAAATGAGAATGACCCCAATTTCAGGAAGTTGGCCTCGGAGGGTTTTTTTTTTTTAATATATATTTTTTTTTATTTCGAGTCCTGATTCGTGATGAGAGACTAATTCGTTACGCTAAAACATTAACAGCAATTTAAAAGGTCGAACAGGGGCTGTATAAACAAAGGAGCTGGCCAACACAACAAGGCAAAAAGGAGACAACACAAGGACTGAGCCCCCCCCCCGTGCTGGGAAGTGAGAGTTCCCAGAAACTCACCAAATTGCGCTGTGCCCACTTTTGCTTTTCATTTAGGGCAAAACCAAAAATGGGCTCCTTCCCTTGACATCCATCCATCCATCCATCCCTCCATCCATCCATCCATCCCTCCATCCTTTTTGCCCACTCCAGCCCCACCTGCCGTGCCACTGTCCCCCATGCTGCTGTGATGGCCCCAGTGAGAGCCGGCTCACACACTGGCCAGCAGTGGGGACAGGAGAGCCAGCCCAAAGAGGAAACTTTACAAGCTCCCCAGAGCTGGTTCCTGGAGTGAGACATTAATGCACAGTTGGTGCTGTCTGATGTGATTTTTTGGGGGAACTGGGAACCCCTGAGTCACACCAGGAACCTGCTGGTCAGCAGCTGACCTGGCTCCTCAGCTGATGCTGGGTGTGGGGCAGAGCTGGGTCCCCAGGGACAGCCCAGTGCCATCACTGCAAAGGGATATGCTCTGGCTGGGACATGCCTTGTCCTGGGGACCGAGGCATCCCTTGTCCTCAGTCCCTGGGCTGGCATCACCCAGAGAGGAGGGTCTGGTCACACCCAGCACTGGGCAGCTGGAAGCCCAGGGGGGACCCCAGACACCCTGTACGCTCACACCAGTGATGGAGCAGGATGAGCCCCCAGGCCCAGCTCTGTCCTTGCGCCATCTCCCTGCCCATTCCCAGGGGTCTAAGGTTCATCTGTGGCTGGCTTGTTCACTGCCCTTGAACCCCTGTCCTCTGGCCAGCAAACACAGAACTTCCTCCCCTGGCCTGGGCTGGATCCTGCCCTGCACTCCCCTTCCTCCTTCCTGTGCACACTCGGGACTCCTCGTCCAAACAAAGCCCTGATTAAAGGCAGAAGTGTGGCAAAGCTGAAACCTTTCCTGCACACAGAGACACAGCCCTGGCCTGGCAGCCCCGGTGTCCCCCACCTCCCCCCCAGTGACACCCCCTGTTTCCAGGCACCAGGGGGTACCTGTTTGCAAAGGCAAAAGAGGAGATAAAAGAAATCCTGGCACTGGGAGGATGCGATTCTGCATCACCAGAGCTTGGGATGCCCCATCCCCAGGGCTGAGTGACAATCAGGGTGCTGGCCCCAGGACACAGAGGAAGTGCCAGGCAAGATCTCCCCCAGCATGGGACTCCTCCCCCCCATGCCAGGGGATGGGTCATTGCCTCATCCTAACGTGGTTTTTGTATTTTGACAGAGTATTTGTTCAGTGCCTGACTTGGCTGCTCTGTTTGCTTCTCATCTTTGTCTTTTCTAATGATGTTTGCTTTACACCCCCAGCCCTGCTCCCTGTGCCGTGCTGGGGGGCTCCCCGTGGACCCCCACACTGCACTGCTGTGGGGATGGGGCACCCACCTTGGCCCCCTGCACCCCTGCTCCACCCCAGGGGGAAGCTACAGCAGGAGATCTGGGAGAAGCTGCAGCAGGAACCAGAAGAGTGGAAAAAACCAAAGAGTGGAAATACATTATTTTTTTCCTCCGTATCCCCCTCCTTCCAAAGAAGCCTGGTCTTGGACACTGAAAGTTGTGAAGGGAATCATGCACCCCCCAGCTCTTTGTAACCCCCTACCACATTTTTTGGTGGTGTAACAAGCAAAAACAAAGAGGAAAAAAAGGGGAACCAGAAGGGCTGGGGGAAGCCCCTCTGAGACATCAACTCTGCCCTTGGGTAACACAGGGTGTGGAATAGTCACAAATGAAAAAAACCTAAATATTTATTCCTTTCAGCTAGTAAAAGGGAAGGAAAAAGGCATTTTCACCTGTCTTTATTCCACAGAAAGGGAGACTGAGGATTGAGGTATGGAGCAGGAAAGGGGCTGCCCTGGATGGCTGCACTGCCCCGTGGCAAGACACTGTCCTGAGAGCATCGCTGGCATCCCTGGGCTCTCTGCCCCAACACTCCCCATCATTCCCACCATCTTCCCAGCCCGGGGAATGTCCCAAAGGCCCTGGCTGGGGCAGTGGAGGCCAGCAATGATCCAGGGATGCTCCCAGGGATGCTCAGCTTCCAGTGCCGCCCGCGTGCCGTGAGGGGGACTCCAGACTGACGCCGGGCCACGGGCAGCACCAAAAACGGCCCAGGAACCTCCCCTCCCCAACTGCTCCTGCCCTGCTCCCTCCCACCACCATCCTTCCACTTGGCACGCAGGGATGCTCAGGATGGCCCGTGCCAAAGTCAGGGCCCACCCACAGCACTTCGGAGCCAAAACGTCTGTTACTCACCCAAAGTTTGCTGCAGAGAAGCAAACCCCTGCTGCAGGCAGCTCCAATCTGCAGCAGCAACACACGGGGGCCCCGGGCTCCAGAGTAACAACAGACGCTTCCCTTAGCCCTTTCAAAATGCTCCATCTCACTTGCAACTCACTTATTCTAAATTTTTTAGTCTCCCTCTGCCACTTTGCTGCTTGTTACCCTGAGCAGGCCAGTGCTGTGTCTTAGTAAAATACGTGCAGCAGGAAACAACAAATAAATCCTTCCTGGCCAGGGCAATAACTGCTCCTTCTCCCAACCACTCCTTTCCTCTCAGATGGCTTTTCTCGCTTCTCTCAGATGTGGTGATTTCTAAACAACCGAGGCAGACACAGCCCCAGTGACTGGGCACAGCCCCAAGACACAGCCCAAACACACACATCAGCCCAGGCCAGTGACAAAGGCTCCTCAGTGCCAAAACCTTTCCCCAGGTCCTGCCTACACAGCACCAACCCCGGGTGGGGGGAGTTGAGGGGCACAGGCACCTGCTTGGGGTCCCACAATGGAGCCACAGGTGGTCCCCAAAGCCATCACCACTCTGTCCCCACAGACCAGCACCCATATCTGCAGCCACCACTGAGACCTGCAGCACCTTCTGTTCCCAGCGTGCTGCCCACCCCAGGTTATCATTCACCCTGTTTGCTATCTCAAGTGTCTCACTCTTTTCTCTGCCCTTCTCCCTGCTCTGCTCTATCCCCAGCTCCCCAGAAAGCCCTGAGTTTCTACAGCACAGGCCTTTGCTGCACCCTACTGCATGGATGATATCTCCCTAGAGACCAGGGACACATTTTGGAGGGCAAAAACATGGGATTTATCCACACAATCATTTCCTGCACCGTTTCAGAGCTGTGCAATGAACTGTCCCTCTACCACAGGTGCCCAGATAAACTGGAGCATCTCCTGCAGCCCTGGCTGGGATGGGGTGAACCCTGGGTGGGACAGGGTGAGCCCCACAGCACTGAGCAGGGCTGCTCTCACCTTCCAGGTGGCCGTGTTCCTCCGGAAGTAGGCAAACATCCGTGTGAACCAGTTATAGATTTCGTTCAACGTTAGCTGCCTGTCGGGGGTCTCCAGGATGGCCTGGGAAACCAGAGAGGTACAAGAGCATCAGTCGCTACACCCTGTTGGAGTTTGATATCAAGGACAAGGGGTAGAAAAGGGGGTTCAGCA